GGGGAATACAGACGACAGAAGTTAGGTGCGGGTGTGGCTGCCCGCCGGCCTGCTTGCCGGCTTGCCGGCTTGCCTGTTTGCTTGGCAGGATGGCCCCACCTGGCTGTCGGGTGAACTCACAATGTGGCGGCATATGTGCGAATGTGAATGCACGAGCGATCGAAGCCCAGGCATCACGTACCGAAGCCCATGACATAAATGACGCACTGCCGCAAGGCGATAGACCACCGGGCCAGGCCAATGACCGATACCGAGCGCCAAGGGCGAACCAACGCCTGGGCCAGGAGGTCATCAAACACACTCATGGCCTTGACCCTGTCACTATCCAGCGTCAGGACCGGGACACTGGCCACGCAGATGATCGAGGCCGTGCCATCGTCCACGCGGAAGCGCACATGCCGGGACATCGTCCCCTGGTCGTCCTTCGCCGAGCCAGCTTGAAAGGCGGGAGGCTGGAAGAGATGCACCACCGCCGGGTATCGGTCATCCCAATCGCAGCCAATCGGCATCATCATCCCCTGGACATGGACCAGACACGAGTCGCCGGTGATCGTTTTGCGGAAGGCACGCAATGGGTCCGACCCGGCCGAGGGCTGCATGTTGGAGGTCGATTCCGGGAATAGCCACACAAGATCCGCACAGAAAAGTGGCCGTGGGGGATTCCGCAGGGGCGGCATGGCTGGAGAGGGCGAACGCGAGGAGGCCCGAAATGAGACCTCCTCGGCGGCCTTGGGATCGGGCCGCGGGTGAGGGCCCCCCGGGGGGGGCTGCTCTTCGAAGAGCACCGCCTCGATGCTTGGCCCGGGGCCCACACCACGTATCCCCACTTGGGTTTCCGCGTGCCAAAGGACCTCGGCCAGCACATTCGGTGCCTGGCAATCCGGCGAGGCTGCCACCGCGCGAGCCAAGGCCGAGCTCAAGCGCACGGGCTGTGTCGGAACGCGCCGGCGTTTAGATCGCGAACGACTGGACGGCGTGTGGAGAGGCTGGTTGCTCGAGCTGATCGGCGTGCCCGGCGGGTCTGTGAGCGCCTTCGAAGACGGTCGCAGGACTTTCGAGGACGGCCGTGGCGATCGCGCTGGTGGTCGGGGCGACCGCAGGGACGGCCGTGGCGGTCCGGGCGGCGGCTCATCCGGTGGCCCCTGCTTGTCGGGGGAGACCATCGGAACGAAGGCTGCGACGATTGTGCGCCCAAAGGGGGGGGGGAGAGAGAAACACGATAAGGAGGAGGGGCGGAGGGATGAGAGGGGTCCAGAGGGAGGGGGGCTCTGGCTCCAGCAGTGACAGAGCCCTGTGGCTAGCACCTCTTCTCTTCGCCTTTGCCGCCGCCCCCGGCCGTAGGCCGATCTACAGCCGGTCGAGTGCCACCAAGAAGCCAGTGGCGCCCCCATGTGTCGCATCACGTGCCGTCGTGGGAACAATACTCTGCATTGGCATGCGCTGCTTCTCGGCGCCATGCAGGCCTGGCCC